AGGAATGTGTTTTCTTACTATGCTGAATCTTACCTCAAGCCAGAGAATCTGATCTTTGATACTTGAAAAATCAAGGTTGCATTGACTGACAGGCAGATGCAATCTCAGCCCTGCATAAAATTGGCTTCCCACCTCAAACAAACTGAGCAGCATTTGTGCAGCACGTCAGCCTTTGTGGAAAATGCTCAGAAGTATGCATACTTATGTATTTTGGAAAGGAATTCATAGCCAACTAAGCATATCGACAAGAATATAAGGAAGTGGCATGCTGGTCAAATGACTCATTTTCTTCTCCTAGTGGGAAATATTTGTGGGGCGGAAAAAAAGGAAAAAACCCTAAACAACCCCAACCAAAAAAAAACCCCAAACCCCTGGCATAATGTTCATTTTCAGCAATATACTGAACTGTCAGTCAGTCAATACTCTCTCAGTACTTTTCAGAAAAAGTGAGCATCACATCTGCATTAATTTAATTCCACTTATTTGACCTAGAACACGAAGCTTCAGGACTCCAAGAGGCCTCCATAATATGGTTGTAAAGAAATATGACTTTTCAAATGTGGAAGTTCATTATTCTAGAATGTTTTACAACCCATTACTCCTAAAAGTCTATTATGCACGTTTCTTCCAGCAGCTTTTATAAGGACTTTCATTATATTCTCTATAGAAAACTCTTACAAGAAAAAGCAAGAAGATACACAAAATTCTTGCAGCCTTGTTACAAGCTGTCATATTGGCAACCACTATTTTCACTAATGACCCTTCAAGACATATTTTTAAATTACTTAAGAGAGCTATAGGGATTACAACCCTTGTTGCAGTGTTAAATGTTGGCTCTTCTAGGCTTTTGGTAATCCTAGGACTCCTCCTCCTTCTTCACTTGGTGTATGGTTTGTGAGACTTCAGTAATTCAGGTTAGGTATAGTCAAACCAGAGTTTTCCAAAAGCCATTATGAAAGGTGACCAGCATTTCAGCATCACATTTGAGAATGAAACAAGGGCACTGAATTCATCCTTTTTTGCCTGACATTCTCCACTGTTGCAGAAGTGCAAACAAACACGTCACACAATTCATCAACTGCTTGAGCTGCACTTCACACGTGCCTTCAAAACCTCCTCTGAGAACTGCTGTCCAGCCACCCCAGTGCAGAGGACCTGAGCAGTCCTAGAGACCGTTCTGTAACTACTCAACTTGGACCACATCAGTCTGAACTGGAGATTTGCAGAAGTTGCTCTCAGAGATTTTTTTCTTCTTAACTTTACCTTAAAATGAAATGTATAAGATACTGATGTGGTCTAAATACTTTTGAAAATATTATTTTCTATGAGGAAATGGAGAAGCAGAAATGGGAAAGGGGAACTGGGAAAGATTTGGGGAAGAAGGGAGTTTACTACAATTGGAGGGATGAAGAGAACAGACGTGAGGACTAGTGCAAGGATAGAAACAGGTAATGTGGCAGAAAGAATCTGAAATGGCTACAATGATATTGGCTACAATGGCTACAATGATATTGATCTGGGATGATGATATTTGAAATACAGAAAGAAGGCAAATTTCTTATCATACTGTAATGAAGCCATTTTAAGGTAAAACAAAAGAAGAATCGTAAGTCAGCCAGCAAAGCCTACGTTTTTATCCTCTGTCTCCAGGCATTTACAAAAAGAAGGAAACTGAGATACAGTGATCAGATCAATGGTCTCTCCCAAAATTTAAGAAAGTATCAATTTCCACAAACAATATAATTAATATGCTAGAAAGTATATTAAAAAAAAAAGAAAGGAATGTTTTATGACTCTTTTTTTTCCCCCTGCACAACCCCAGCCCTCCATTTTCCCTCTTTTGTGAACAGCAAACACTCCTTAGAAGTATCAAAATTGTATTCTCATCTCCTCTCAAGTCATCTGGAACCTAAAATGATCCTGAATGTCTGGGGAACTCCTCTCTTCCTGTGCTCCATGTTTGCCAGTGCAGACAAGCACCTTGGAAGATCTCTCTCTTTAGAGGAGTCATTAATCTAAAGTGCTTAAACATTGGAATCACAAAATTAAAATCTCTTAAGCCTCAGAAAGACAAAATTAAGGCACAGACAATGTATCTTCATGGTGGAAAGCTGACTACAGTAAGAAAATAGTCTGGTCTCTGTGGGACTGGCTAGGGAGGATGTGGAGCCTGCCTAAGGCAGCCTGACAGAAGGGAAAGGCCTGGATGGCATGGATGGCGGGGCACAAGCCTGGTGCAAATACAGAGTGTGCTGCACAGCGAGCCATGTGTGTGACCCCCACCTGTGACACATGCACTGCTACCACAGTTCACATGTGCCCCCACTGTCTGACAGGCTCCATGGGGCAAGAAGGGAACTACTGTACAGTAGTGTAGGCACAGCATCTTCTGTGACACTGCACAGCAAAGCTGACAGCAGTTAGGAATGGTCTGCCTACTTTTTTCCCCACACAGTCCAAATATTTTTAAATGGGATCATGAGATCCACTCCCACAAGACAGAAATCATGACAGGTGCTTGGAAACCACATATATTATTTTCCAGCTAGCCTCAATAACAGCAAATATAAAACCAATCATTAAGGTGCTATGAAGAAATACACTGCTAATCAAATTTTGCAAGAATTTCAATAGCACAAAGCTTTACTAGTGCAGGATAGTGGGAGTTTCACGGTATTTGTCCCTCTTCTAGAACATTAAATTCAGGAAAACTGAAAAATTTAAACAAAACTGCTGACAACAAAACTTGCAAAATGGATTACCAAGTGAAGGTCACACAGCCTCTGTTTTACCTTAGTTAGGGAGTAGCTATCCCTAGACACACATTTGTACCTTGTATTCAACGTGTTGTGAACATCAGCCACCTGCATCCTTTCTGTAATCAAATCAAAAGCTGGGGGGAAACCCTCCCAACTACTACATTTGTTAACATTTTCACTCACACATGTCACCAGTCACTGTAGTTTCATCATCCATCCTTAAACCCACACGTCATGCTATCTCCCACTTAACTGCCAGCAGGCCCATCACAAGACCATTGCTTCATCCTCATGCTGAAACTCTACAGAGCAGCAAGGAGACCAATGCCATGCCAGGCATCCATTAGCTGATCTCCTCAACCCAGATGCAGACGGCAAAATAGACAGGATTCCTATCTGCATTTAATACCAGGAAGTATATCATCCTTTCTGGTTACTGCCAGCTCTCAGAAAAAAGTGATTACAGATTTTGAGAGTCGGCAGCTCCATTTTCTAGATCTTAAACATTTGCATTTATCTTTTAATTTTACTTCCTTCCCAACTCAACTTAGTATTATAGCACTCAAAGCCTACACAATAGACTTGCTGTTTTATCAATATTATAAAATCCATCTTTGAAGAGTCTGTCTCATATAAAGCACAACAGTAAATAGAAAAATGAACAAAATGGTTTAATATAACACAGCTCCATAATGTATGTGCTTTATCTTTAATGCTGTCACCATTTTTTATGTACAGACTATAGCATGTTCAGGGTGGGAGAGCATAAAGGGAGTGTAAAGTTAGATCCTACTACTCAAATACCAGATACAGTATTTGGATATAAACCAATTCCTTCTGAGGCTGTGACTGTTAGATGTGCTAAATCTCATGCTGATTCTCAGCAGATCAGACTATTTTTTTAACTTCTTGGTAGAAGGCAAAAAATCTTTAACAACATGTGAAGTTAGAAAGTAGGAATACACAGCCTGACAATTTTTCTAGAGGAAGGAAAAAACAATGGTCCATTGTTTTCACCTGCCAATGTTTTCAAAGACAAAATGTGCTTTTGTGTTTGTACTTCTGTTGCTCCTGTAGGAGTAGAACATGACAAAACCGAATACCAGGAGGGGCTGCATCCATGCATGAGTGACAGAAAGTAGAACGCTGAAAAATTCAAAGTTGCAGTAGTACTTAATTAAAGCTATCAGTTCTGTTTTGGTCTCCTTCTGTGCCCTTAGCAGAAGAAGCTTATCTGATCAACTATGTACAAAATGCAAAAAAGCACTTGGATCGGGAAACCTGTGATTAGAACAAGTATGAAGCAAATACATCTTACATTCTATATTCATGTATATTTAAAATTGCCAGATTGAAATGAGTCCTTTTCTATAACATTACTTTGCATTTTATGTTTCTTTTGACAATTTTAAAACCAGTCACAGACAATTCTCTTCCTGAAATTTCCTGCTTTAAATTTCTCTATTTACAACAAACTCACAGTACAAAAAGGTGATTCAATGAAAACCCACATACTTAAAATATATAAAGATAGACTAAACATAAGGCACAATTCAATCTCAAATCTGATTACTAGAGAACATCATCAAGTTTATTACCCATAAGATATATGAATCACATGGTAAATTCTAGAAAATTTGCTTAAATTTTCAGAAGTCACTAAATGATCCTGTTAAATGTGTGTGTTGTGGTTTCCATGCTACTTCTAGCATTTTCAGTCACTACCTTTTTTAAGAACCATGCTAGTTTAGGTCCAGTACTTCTCCAGAAACTCTTTCCTATTTTGGACATTTTAAATGTCTTTTCAGAGATCCTTTTTGTCTAGCATGGCACAGTGTAAAGTGGAATTAAACTTGGGTGATCCACAGAAACCCACACTCAAGAAGTGTACCCCAAGCAGACCGATGTAATCCCTTAAGTCTCAGGAAATTCAGCTTGAATCATATTTGAATACAGTCATATGTTCAGATATGAAAAGGTACATGTGCTCTAGTAAGAGATTTGCATATGAATGGATGCAGAAGTCTGCATCATCCCACCAGACAAAACCAGAGGGAGATACAATGCCCACAGCAGCCTTCACTCCCTCCCTACAGTAAATGCACCCCAAAAGATCAGTTCTGATTCTGTGTAGATCTGGTGTAAGACCAGGACAATACTGAAATCACCCTTCCCTAGTAAGGCAATAATAAAAGCACCAAAGTCAGATGTCACATATCATTTGTTATGAAGGACTCCTACCTTTTCAGCTTCATATAATTTTCACTAGCTGCAGGTCTGCATTCAGCACGTTGCACCACTATTCCTTCCAAGGCAAGTTTATCTAGAATGAAAAGAAAATGAAGTAAAACTGGACATGAAAATAAGATCCACCAAGATGGTCAGCATTTGAATTATTTTTCACTAATTAAGAATTTACTAAATATAACATAATTCTAAGTTCTCAAATCAAGCTCTAAAATCTCTGCTATTCAGACACCAAAGAAATAAGCAGGAAAAACATGTTTGCATAGCTGGTATACCCTAGACTTCCTTGTTTTGCCTTCAGATATTTTACATATTAAGAATGAATCACAGAGATCAAATTTTAAATAAGAGATTGTAACTCCTTTCTCTAGATGTTGCACTCAGAGTATTATCTAGGAACTTCTTTGTAAATGGGCAATTAATACAATCAGTGACTGTGAAAAAAATAATCTACAAAGAGAATCCAATAATCAAAGTATCCAAAATTAGTGGAAGATAAAGCAAAAGATAACTTTATTCTTATACTCAGGAAAATAGTACCACATTTTCCTCTTGTTACGATTTTAAAAAAAGTACACTGAAGGAACACAATGCAAAACAAGTAATAATACAAGAGGATGGTAACAGTCAGGGAAAAGAAGTAAAAGCTTTCAGTCAGTAATCTAGGACACCACATACATGTATTTAGGTAATACTCCTCTCTGTACATTCACCACAAAGTCACTTTGTTACCCTACGTGACCATCTTTTGCCTAAAGCAACAATGACTAACAGAGCAGTACCAGCCTACACCATAAAGGTAGGTAAACCCAAAAATTAAAAGCAACTTAATGTAGAAATGAAGAGAGAAGTGACGGTGGGCAAATTTCTTCACTTCTACTATGATGTTCTAGTGTATGATGTGTGGATATGGGAGGGGCACGTGTCAATTTATCTATCTGTTTTGGGCATAGCCAGTGCAATTTGTGTTAAACAAAACACCTCTGGAACAGCCTTGCATTACAAGAAAGCATGAGTTTTAAAGGCTTGACTAGCTCTCAGTACTGAAATGTCCTTCCAAGAGCACTACACTGTCATTGTCACCTTGTGCTGGCAATGTCACAGAAGATGACAGAAACGCTTAGAAATACTGATGTTTAAGTAACACAAGGCACTCTGAGACACCTCTGGATTTCCTATCATCTTATAGACTGAAATATTACTACATCCACACATCTAAGTCTGCTCTCCCTGAAAAATGCCAGAAACGATTACTTAGACATCATGAATTTTTAAGTTATTTAATCTAAAATTTATCGGATTGATTCAAACTAAATCTTTGAAAGCAGTATGAAAGCCATATTTTTTTCAGATAGGTTTGAATGAAATAGAAGAAAATTTGTTTTAAAACACTTGTGATTTTGTGGATTCCCAGCTTAATGGTCAAAAAGAGACAACTTGGAAGATTTGCCTGACTTCCTATGTATCACAGACAGAAAAATTGTATGGTCTTTCTTCTTTACAGAACATAGTAACTTATTTGTGGCTTAAGTGGTACTAATATTGCTGCTTAATTTCTAATAAGAATTGGGCTTCAGCTTCTAGCAGTTGGTTCTTCTTATGACTTTCTATACTATGGTAAAGAGTCTTTCAGTACCTGGCGTTTTCTCCCTTTGAAAGTACTTACAAATCGTTATCAAGTTGCTTCTCAATCACCTTTTCAATAAATGAACCAATTAAGCTCATGCATTATCTCATTACAAGACATTTCTGCCATACTTAAATCAGTCTGGGATTTCTTATTTATTTCTTATTTGCACCTTTTCAATCTCGAAATGATGCTTTAAGATAAAAGAGACCAGACACCAGACATAATACTACTGAACTGATTTTATGAAAACCATACATGGAAGTAAAATAACAGACACAGGAGCTGCAATTTCTCTCACCTCACTTAAGCCATTTGAATGTTATTCAGAATCTATGAATTCAGCAGAGAGCGGGAAGAAGGGAGACTGTCAGGAAAAAAATGATCCCATCACTTTTAGAATTAAATTATTTCCCAGTGGGTTTTTTTTGTAGGTTTTCTTGGAGGAGAGCACACATGGTGTCTGTGTCCCATGACTGCTTCATGCTTAGATGGCTAAAACTGAGTTAAGATCATTTGTCTCTAAAAACCAAGTTCTGGGGGTTTGGCTATTATATTACTACACAAATATTCTGAGTCTTCTCTAAGCCTCACATTTTACCTATGGGCTCTGCATTGCCTAGGTGCATAATTGCCTTTGGTTTGGTAAAAACACATTGTCTTTAAAACAGATTCTGTGAATTAAGGAATCCCAGTCACACTATGACAGTCCTGTCATAGTTACTCACTGTCTGACCTGCATTTGTGTCAATGACAACACATTTTATAAGCAGTGATTCTCACCACTGTCGTCCTTGCTAATCCTGGAGTAAGCCCTTCAAACTACAACTCAAGAGGCTTCCTACTCATAATTCCTCTCTGATAATTGTCAGATAGTTTTTAATCTTGTTCTGTGCTTGTTTTAGTTTCTTTTTTAATATAAATCAGAATGTCACAAGGATCTAGACTATGTGCAATAGGAAATGCTAAGCAGGCTGCAAATGTGCTGTTACTTTAAACTCATAATCTTCAAAACAAATAAAATTAGGTTTATTGGACCAGAAAAACTTTACATAAAGCCATGTTTGCTAGGATTCATTACATTTCCAATCTTAGATACCTCTTGAGCGCCATAACAATTTTTCTGCTCACTTCTATGGTACAGGTTTCAAGGCTAGTTAACCTATATTCATCTGAACCATCTAACCCAGCTGCCTGAACACTGACATGTCACTGTCAATCTCCCTGCACTTGCACAATTTTCAAATTATTTTTTATTTTCAAGGATCAGGATCAGTAAAGCAGAGAGTTCCTACCCAGTAACTATTTAGAAAATGAACATGCCAATTAAACATGTTTATCCTTAATATGACCACAGAATCACATAATAGTTTGGGTTAGAAAGGGCCTTAAAAATCACTCTGTTCCAACCCCCCTGTCATGGTCAGGAATACCTTCCACTAGACCAGGTTGCACAAAGCCCCATCCAAACTGTCCTTTAACACTGTCAGGGCTAGGAAATTCACAAGTTCTCTGGTATCTCATCTTTGATGTCTTGGCCAATACCCTCTTTTCATTGCCACTGATCCAGATTTGACTTTTGCTGTCAAATCCAGACAAAATGTTCCAATCACTTAATGTACAAGGCTGTGCATAGTCTCCCAAACATCACCTTGCAACTAAGGTTGTCTGCTGTCTAAGAGCATTCACTGTCCAAACACCAAGGCTTATGTCCCACTTTCCTTGGACCCTCTTTGGAATTTTAACACAACCTTTGAGTCTAGCAGAATACACAAAGATACAGGCAAACCTCCAGATACAAGACTGCAGTGAGAGAACACAGTTTTTATTCCCTTTGTAGCCTACTTAGACCTCATTGACCAAACTCAAATTCAGAGACTTGGGTCTGTCTTCAACTGTTGCAGGATGAAAGATGCAATGAAAAGATATCCAAAATGCTACACATCTGCCTTGATATTTCCATAGTCACATCAGCCTAGGAGGTAATGGATGAATAAGGCATGGAATTGGTATTTCCCTGTTAAAAACACCTACTCAAAGTAGATAGTAAAAAGTAAATAAATAAATAGGTCTGAAAGACTAGCTGAGATCAGTGATGAGAAGGGAAAATAAGACATTTTCCCAAGAGCCTCACACTCTCAAATGCCCAACATGTGTTGGCAGGTACAAAGTACCCTCATAATGCAGCTCCAGACAGGCTCCTCCACAGAACCCATACGTTCATCACTAGATGCATGCTCATCCTGACCTCCCTGCCTGAATGCCCTGGTGCCAATTCATAAAGTAATTTCAACTATTGTCTCAGTGAGATGATAGATATGCTGGGCGAGACAGATTCCAGCTTGAAATCCTGCTGACAATCATTTTCAAAGAACAGAATATGATAGAAACACTTAAGCCAATGTTAATAAACAGGCAGGAGAGAAATTTACTGGAATTGTGCAGCAGATGGTCTGATAGGGGTTGGCTTGTTGCAGTTTTTAGAGAGAGAGAGATGGACTGATTTGAAGATTTTAATGTATCAATCCTCTAGTCTGACTGCACTCAGCTTCTATTTCCAGCCGCTGTCTTGTTGGACCATTGACTGCTAAGCTGAAGAGCCTGCTAGGAAAGCATTTCTGTCCATCCAAGCACTTACACAGTCTTCACCTTTATCAAGCCTAATAAAAATAAATCATGTTTTCTTGAACCTTCCATTATGCCAATTCTTCAGCTTCTTAATCATTTTTATTAGCCTGAGAAAGTCCAGTTCATGTATGTCTTTCCTGAGATATTGTCTCTCACAGCCAGACTTGACAGCACGTGGGTCAGGTTCTGGATCTTACCAACTCCTCTGCCTTGTGAGTGGTGCCAAGGAAAAAAGGAGAAGAAGACCACACTCAGGATGCATGATTCTCAGGCAGCAGGAAAAAGGAGATGAGAGTGCAGGAAGGCCAGGCTGTGGGCATGTGTGCCTCCAGCTCTTCAGCTGTTAGAAGATGGGCTGTTGTTTCCCAGCTGTCATGGTTTAACCCCAGCCAGCAAACAAGCCCCATGCAGCCACTCACTGCCCCACCAGCAGGATCAGGGAGAGACTCAGAAGGGTAAAAGCTGGAAAACTCATGGGCTGAGATAAAGACAGGGCTGTACCACATATAACAGTTACTTGGGAAGACAAATGCCATCACTCCAAATGTCCCCCCTCTTTCTCCTTCTTTCCCCACTTAATATACTGTGTATGGTGTCACATATTCTGGGACATCCATTTGGTCAGTTTGGGTCACCTGTCCTGGCTGTGTCTCCTCCCAACCTCCCACGCACCTCTAACTTCCTCACCAGTGTCAGTACAAGAAGCAGAAAAACCCTTGGCTCTGTGTAATCCCTGCTCAGCAATAACAAAAACATCCCTGTGTTATCAGCCCTGTGTTCAGAACAAATCCAAAACCCAGCCCCATACCAGCCACTGTGAA